ACATCAGACACTATTGACGCTGTCAAGGCTAAAATTTAAGACAAGGAAGGAATCCCACCTGATTAATAAAGACTCATTTTTGCAGGAAAGTAATTAGAAGATGGAAGAACACTTTCAGATTATAACATCTAAAAGGAATCCACTCTCCACTTAGTTTTGAGATTGAGAGGTGGAATGTAAATTTTCGTAAAGACTTTGACTGGAAAAACCATCACTCTTGATGTTGAACCATCAGACACTATTGACGCTGTCAAGGCTAAAATTTAAGACAAGGAAGGAATCCCACCTGATTAATAAAGACTCATTTTTGCAGGAAAGTAATTAGAAGATGGAAGAACACTTTCAGATTATAACATCTAAAAGGAATCCACTCTCCACTTAGTTTTGAGATTGAGAGGTGGAATGTAAATTTTCGTTAAGACTCTTGACATGGAAAAACCATGCAGCTCTTGATGTTGAACCATCAGACACTATTGACGCTGTCAAGGCTAAAATTTAAGACAAGGAAGGAATCCCACCTGATTAATAAAGACTCATTTTTGCAGGAAAGTAATTAGAAGATGGAAGAACACTTTCAGATTATAACATCTAAAAGGAATCCACTCTCCACTTAGTTTTGAGATTGAGAGGTGGAATGTAAATTTTCGTTAAGACTTTGACTGGAAAAACCATCACTCTTGATGTTGAACCATCAGACACTATTGACGCTGTCAAGGCTAAAATTTAAGACAAGGAAGGAATCCCACCTGATTAATAAAGACTCATTTTTGCAGGAAAGTAATTAGAAGATGGAAGAACACTTTCAGATTATAACATCTAAAAGGAATCCACTCTCCACTTAGTTTTGAGATTAAGAGGTGGCATAATGATTTTCGTCTCTATATTCACTTCATTCATTTTGTATATACATGTTAAACAATCAGACACAATTTTCATTTAAACTGCATTACATATTTAATCTCTTCCTAGTTTTATTCTTCTTATGAAATTTTGTTATTCTAGGAAGAACAGCTTTCTTATGCTATTCGGATTTATTTCATCGTCCAATTCATTTCAATACAAGCGAAACTTATTATTTATATGCGTTATTATCCATTTTTTCTCTGTATCACAATTTTGATAGTGAATGTGTAGTTTTTTTAGCTAGCATCCTCTGGAAAATCTCAAATTTGGAAAAACTCAGCATATTGAGTCGAAGATGGATTTCGAGAGTTTTACTCATTTTGTGAAAAATATCTTCTCTACATATAGAAGTATGTGAAAACTGATTTTGAAATAGAGTTTGACAAAATGAAATTGTCTTCAGAAATAGATTCCTAATTTAATTAATACACATTATTGAATGACAGTAATTAGAACAGAATTGATCGGAGAAAATATAATACTTAATTTCTGAATCAATACTTTCTGGACTAATAATTGATAATAAAATATGAAATGTAAATTTTCGTAAAGACTTTGACTGGAAAAACCATCACTCTTGATGTTGAACCATCAGACACTATTGACGCTGTCAAGGCTAAAATTTAAGACAAGGAAGGAATCCCACCTGATTAATAAAAGACTCATTTTTTGCAGGAAAGTAATTAGAAGATGGAAGAACACTTTCAGATTATAACATCTAAAAGGAATCCACTCTCCACTTAGTTTTGAGATTGAGAGGTGGAATGTAAATTTTCGTTAAGACTTTGACTGGAAAAACCATCACTCTTGATGTTGAACCATCAGACACTATTGACGCTGTCAAGGCTAAAATTTAAGACAAGGAAGGAATCCCACCTGATTAATAAAGACTCATTTTTGCAGGAAAGTAATTAGAAGATGGAAGAACACTTTCAGATTATAACATCTAAAAGGAATCCACTCTCCACTTAGTTTTGAGATTGAGAGGTGGAATGTAAATTTTCGTTAAGACTTTGACTGGAAAAACCATCACTCTTGATGTTGAACCATCATCGACACTATTGACGCTGTCAAGGCTACAAATTTAAGACAAGGAAGGAATCCCACCTGATTAATAAAGACTCATTTTTGCAGGAAAGTAATTAGAAGATGGAAGAACACTTTCAGATTATAACATCTAAAAGGAATCCACTCTCCACTTAGTTTTGAGATTGAGAGGTGGAATGTAAATTTTCGTAAAGACTTTGACTGGAAAAACCATCACTCTTGATGTTGAACCATCAGACACTATTGACGCTGTCAAGGCTAAAATTTAAGACAAGGAAGGAATCCCACCTGGATTAATAAAGACTCATTTTTGCAGGAAAGTAATTAGAAGATGGAAGAACACTTTCAGATTATAACATCTAAAAGGAATCCACTCTCCACTTAGTTTTGAGATTGAGAGGTGGAATGTAAATTTTCGTTAAGACTTTGACTGGAAAAACCATCACTCTTGATGTTGAACCATCAGACACTATTGACGCTGTCAAGGCTAAAATTTAAGACAAGGAAGGAATCCCACCTGATTAATAAAGACTCATTTTTGCAGGAAAGTAATTAGAAGATGGAAGAACACTTTCAGATTATAACATCTAAAAGGAATCCACTCTCCACTTAGTTTTGAGATTGAGAGGTGGAATGTAAATTTTCGTTAAGACTTTGACTGGAAAAACCATCACTCTTGATGTTGAACCATCAGACACTATTGACGCTGTCAAGGCTAAAATTTAAGACAAGGAAGGAATCCCACCTGATTAATAAAGACTCATTTTTGCAGGAAAGTAATTAGAAGATGGAAGAACACTTTCAGATTATAACATCTAAAAGGAATCCACTCTCCACTTAGTTTTGAGATTGAGAGGTGGAATGTAAATTTTCGTTAAGACTTTGACTGGAAAAACCATCACTCTTGATGTTGAACCATCAGACACTATTGACGCTGTCAAGGCTAAAATTTAAGACAAGGAAGGAATCCCACCTGATTAATAAAGACTCATTTTTGCAGGAAAGTAATTAGAAGATGGAAGAACACTTTCAGATTATAACATCTAAAAGGAATCCACTCTCCACTTAGTTTTGAGATTGAGAGGTGGCTAAGATTGTAAATTTTCGTTAAGACTTTGACTGGAAAAACCATCACTCTTGATGTTGAACCATCAGACACTATTGACGCTGTCAAGGCTAAAATTTAAGACAAGGAAGGAATCCCACCTGATTAATAAAGACTCATTTTTGCAGGAAAGTAATTAGAAGATGGAAGAACACTTTCAGATTATAACATCTAAAAGGAATCCACTCTCCACTTAGTTTTGAGATTAAGAGGTGGCTAATGATTTTCTCTCTATATTCATTCACTTCATTTTGTATCACTCATTATAAACAATAAACAATTTTCATTTAAACTGTCATAACTTATTTTTTACATTTTTCACCAAAGGCACACATTTTAGTAATATTTCTCATCTCATCAGCTCCCAATTTACAAAATTTTTGAATACTTTCTAATTATACTATATTCAACAAAATTTATGTTTAATTATATTTATTGATAAGTTAGAATAATTTAATTCTTAGATGAGTAAAGTTTAAAGTTAGCTTTCAATTACTAAAATGGCAGATTCTAAATTTTGAAAATATTTTTCATTTTTATTAAAGTTTTTTGTTAATTTATTACCACATCTAGTTTATTTATAAGACAGATAAAAGCCACTTCCTAATTAAATTATTAATTGAGCTTCTTTTCTAAAGTTTACAGATTACACATATTAAACTTATAAAATATGTGTCCTTTTTTTAAATACAATAATTAATTTTAGGTAAGAATTAAATATTTTATGATGTATTTCTTCAAGATATGTTTAGAGCATTCCTATTATCTGCTTAATCTATTATATTCGTTTTGTTAAACCCTTCTACTTATGTATCTACTTAGTCTTGATTATAATTTTGCTTTCCTTCGGCTGATTTTAAATTTTAGATTGTTTATAATTATTCAAGATAATTTTTGATTAAAATGTATATTAAGTATAAAAATTCAGATTATTAATTCATATTTACCAAATGGAATATATATCTGTTTCTCCTATCTAAATTTAAAGCCAACCAATTATTTATAATATTGCATATCTTCAAAATATTGTTTACTCGCGCAATCTTAATTGCTTAATTAAATGATAGCATAAAATCCCCATTCTAATAATTCTTATGAATTTTTTGCAGATAACTTAATAAATAAAAATCTTACTTAGACAATTGAATGCAATCCATTATCGTTGAGGTTTGGGACCAAAATCTTCTCAACTCTAGCCACATAACTGGTTT